AATTATGGTCTATTAATTATCCTTAGAATATTTTTAAAATTAGCATACGGTATACAGAAATCGGACATACATACAAATACAGCTACAAATTCAACATGTTCACAAGTGAAGAAATATTTAAAAATAACCGTAGATTTAAAAAATGATAAAAGTTAGCTGTACATAGTAAATTTAGCAATCTAATTAAAATTAGATCTTTGATCCGCTCCAACACAAAGTAGCGATCTATTTGGAGCAGATGAAAGATCTAATTTTAATTAGATTGTAAATTTAGTGTATAAAGGGGGGGGGGGCATATATTTAAGAAATCACTGTATTATTTGTTGGGTAACGTCAACGGCAATTGGAAACGTGGAATAATTTAACGGTTGAAATTTTGTTAATATCGGGAAATCAACATGCTTAACTTTCAGAGTTATCACAGAGAAAACTTTGGGAAATGTAAACAATATACGACTCGCGAGCACGACAACGTCTTTTCCCAAAGATATTCTCTTTCGCTAGTCTAATCATTACAAAGTTGCGTCTTTCTCTTCCGTTGATCAAATTGTCTGGCTAAACAAGAAATATTATTGGTATTTTAATTGCCAATTGACTTTTGTGTTTGTTTGATACATAATTTAAGTACCAAAAAAATTATTTTCGTTGAGCTCGATGTTTATGTATATGCATTATAAACAAAAGTAAACATCGATGGGATAAATAGGTTTCAATGAAATCAACAAACTTTTAGATGTATACACACTTTTTCCGATTACCCGGGTACTCGATCGGAAAATCGTCCGAGTAACCGATTATCAAATATTGACCAATTTGACATCCCTAGTATGTATGTATTAAGATTTTTCTTATAAGATTCCTACATGTATATAAAAGTTTAATTTATTGTGGTCCCCCTTACCTCCCCCCCATATTGGCCTTATTTTGAACAAACTTAAATCTGCACTACCTGGGGATGCGTCCATTTCAATATGACGTCACCATAAACCGGTGAAGGGCTTCAAATTTTGACCTTTACTCGGCACTCAGGGCCATTGAGCAGTGAGGGTTCTTTATCGTGCCACCGGGACGCCTACCGTGACGTAGGGCCTTGGTTTTTAAGGTCTTATCAGAAGGACCACCAATTTTCACTTCAAAATGCCAAGCGCTTGGCGAAGGAACAGTTGCTACCTATTTTTTTTATCGATCAGTCGCGGCCATGATTTGTACACAAGACCTTCCGATTACAGAACGAGCGCTCTAACGACTGAGCTACCGTGATGGCCGAGTTTGGTTGAAATTGGCTCAGTGATTCTTGAGAAGTCGAAAATGTGAAAAGTTTACAGGCAGACGGACGGACCCCGGACAAAATATGATCAGAAAAGCTCACTTTCCAGCCCAGGTCAAGTCAAGTAAATTTTATTTATAGTCGGCATGTATATACAGTATAACAGAATAACATGAGCTTTGATAGCTCTTTTACCGACTTTAACAATTTACACAAAGATAAAAGTTCGTAAAAATATACATAGTAAGTAAAAAAGCATAATTTAATTGGACAATAAGAAATAAGCACATATACTAGCAATTGCAAAAATAAAAAAGAGCAGCATAAATTATAATGCACATGTATGACTATCACAAGCAAGAAGCAAGAAAGCACAATACAGTACAAACATTTACTGTCACTGATCAAGCTAATGGAAGGAATAAAACTAAAATAAGCAAAGGAGCACAAATAATACTTCACATATATGACTATCACAAGTAAGGACAATCACAAAGCACATTTACTAGCACTGACAGAAGAGAAAATTGAAAAAACAAGGAAAGCAACATAGATAGTAATTATACATATGACTAGCACACATATGGACAATCTTAGAACAGGAAAATAAAACAAAACAAAATATAAAACAAATTCATATTAGAAATAAAAAGGTACACCACAGAACACTTAGAAAGGCTTCTCAGACATAGGCAGCATGGACTGGTGTTTACATTAACTACATTTACATGTCTGATTTCCACACCAAGTAGATATATAGTTTTTAAATAAATTAAAGGATGTTGTGTTTCGAATATCATTATATTAGGAAGAGTATTCCATATCCTTGCTGCCTCATATCTGAAAGAACCTTTTCCATACATGTACCTTGCAGTTTTGGGTTTAGGGATATCTGCGGCTTTAGAATACCTAAAATTATATGAATTTTCTCTAATTATAACCAGATCTTAGAGAAAGACTGGACTCTTTTTATTAATAATTTTAAATGTTTCTAATGCCAGCAATCTCATTCTTCTAGTCTTTAGAGATGGCAATTTGGATCTTTCCAATAGTTGTTCATATGGACTTTTATAGTCATTATAAGTAAAATGCAACGCTCTTAACTGAATTTTCTCAATTTTTGAGTATTTTTCTCACTACATAAATGCCAAGTCAGGGGGCAAATAACTAAAATTCGACATAATAGAACTATGATATATGGTGAGCTTTCCCAATCTATTCAAGTATTTCCCAATCCGTTTCAAAACATTTAGTTGTCTTGCTGCCTTCTTACACATCTCTGAGATACGAGTATTAAAATTTAGTTTAAACTAGAAATGAGTAACATATACCGTATACAGGGTTATTTTCGACCTTTAACATTTGCAAACAATTTTGCCCCATTTTAAATTCGCCTAGTCACAGTTCTGCTTAAGACATTATATTGTTTTTTTTTCTAAATTCGTCACGTTTTAAATTCGCCCAACTCAGAGGAAGGGCGAAAATAAAACGGGGCGAAATTTCCCGTATACAGTAAAGTATATGTTTAATATATTTTATGCTCGTTTTTATTTTTAAAGGAGGGGCATATTGATTTGTACCAATAACATGCTCGGTTTGTCGGTTCTAGACCAAGTGTTGTCCAGTCAATATCTTGAGAAACCTTTGCTTGACAAACATCAGACTTAAAACACTGCTTCCATATAAATAACCCTTACTGATTTTGAGGTCAAAGGTCCATGGTTACGGGTCAAACTTTTCAAGATCTATGAATTAAGTCATTAAGTCATTAAAATGACTGATTTGAAACTTGGCACATTGGTTCCCTTTACAAAGTAAATGACCCTAATTGATTCTGAGATCACAAGGTGGAAGGTAAATGGGTCAAACTACTTTTAACATAAGAAAATATATTATTCATCAATATCTTAAGTCCGCTTAATATCCTGAGAACAATTTGCTTAGCAGACATCAAACTTGGTATACTGGTACCCTCTCAGAAATAAATTATCGGATAGAAATCAAACAATATTTGCCTCTAACTAGTACATAACCCATTTTCAACTATCATTACAGATGTTGTTCTTTTTTTAATCTTGCCACTAGGCGGACATATATGTTTCGAAAACATTTCTTGTTTAAAAATGCATATATATGTCATGGTTTAAATACTTTTTTCATATATATGTATGATTCTTTCGGCATAATTTTAATACATGAAAATCGACATAATTATGTTCAAACACATATTACAAACGTAGAAATAAACGTTTTTCAGTGATAATGGTGCAATGAACATTTACTCTGCAGGCATATTCCATTATGCCCGCTAAAGTGTTTCATAAGAACATGTTCACCAAAACGACGTTGTTTAATTTTTTTATGTTTCCATACCCCCACATTCCCCCCTCGATCAAAGATCATACCGGGTATGATATAAAGAATCCAGGATATGCAATGTTTAATATTAGTTGCATTTCTAGAAATATGAATGTAACTTTGGCTTATAGAATGATGATACTATGGATATACAACCATAAACATATGCTCGTTTTTTTGTATTATACACATGTTTCAATTGTACCTGTGTATGCTACTTGTGACCTTTCGTAGGATTAATTTTGTTTTTGTTTTTAAATTGAATTTACATTTACCACAGTGTACACAATAATAAATAACTTATAGCTATATTTGACAGTTCTAAACAAGGGAACTATTATTCGGTAGACAGTAATATATAATGCTCTTGCTGAAAGTTGAAACTTGTTCAACATCACCCCAACAAAAGTACTATAGTATCCTATAGTTTGCTTTATCAAACTAAATACTTTTATTAACTATAATGAATACTATGGAACGTTGATATATACTATTAATAGTATAAATGTTGATACTTTGATTAACCATAGTTAAAACGTGAATGTAAGAATTTTGATACTTTGATTAATATAGTAAAAAAAAACCTTTGATACTTTGATTAACTTTAGTTTACATTTGGATACTTTAATTAACTATAGTAAGAACGTTGATACTTTTATTAACTATAGAAAAAACTTTGATAAGTTGATTAACTATAGTAAACATTTGGTAACTATAATAAAAACGTTGATATTATAGAAGGGTACTCGATACTTTGATTTACTCTTGTAAAATCTTTGATACTTTGGTTTACTACAATTAGATATAACAGCAGAGTTTAATTCAATAAACTGTAATATTTTTCGCTAGAGCAAGCAGTTAGATAACAAACGTATGATGCATTTGAACTAGCAGTGAGGCAAGGCTGTGTTGACGAAATATTTTCAGCATAATATTAATTTTTTTTCCAGAAATAAAGCATTAAAGAAATGTATTCCATATACAAATTGCAAAGCACTAAGAAAATTAAAATTTTGAAATGTAGAACTTCTTACCTCAGAAAACCTTTTCTCAGGAACGTCTGAAAAGAGTCTAATATGAGAAAAAATAATTCGATTTGACTTGCCTGAAATTCAATAGGGAAATATGACAATCACTTCATATAAATAATAATCATAAAGTTATTTGAAGAACTCCAACATAATTATATATTTAGAAACCAGTGTTTGATGGTATGTAATTGTTGAATATTTAGACAGCGGAAATTTCAGCTTGGGACCGGTGAAGAGGTGTATCGATTAGCACTACTCACTAAAACTCTTACCGACAAGTCCCTGCCATTCACTTTGTTGCATCGAATGTTGCTAGAAAGAGCGGGCCTTACAATTTGTCTATTTTCTTGTTAAAACCGCGAAAACATTTCCCAATTACTGTAGAATAACGATGCTTCAGTATTCATTTCTGCACTTTCTTCGTCTGAAATCGGCGCTCTGGAATTAGGTCTTAATGCATTTTTTATATGAAGGACTATAAGACGCTTGGACAATGTGGTTGATCAATGCAGGTATGTCTTTCCTATAATTTCAAATAAATCTCTCTTACTGTCAACTTTTTCACAAGTTATATTACGACTTTTAAAAAATAAAATCAGTTCAGTTCTAAAAACGTGAAATTTTAAGTATTTCACTGATCAGGCGAAGTTCGAGGTTGCAAATTCAAATCAATTTAAAGAGCCACCAATAGCAAATCTTTTTGATGTTATAGATTACAGTGTTTAATTATTCAATACTCTCTATTCTTTCATGTCCTTTCTTTGATCTTCATTGTCTATTGATATGTAAATGTAATTAATTCAATCTTTTTTTAAATTATAATTTTAAAACTGAATTTGAGATGTAAATCATCAGAATTTTGTTAAAATTCATTCAAAATACAAAGATTAGTAATCGCTATTCGTTGTTGGGATAAATTAATTCGAGGGAAAGAAAAAAAGCCACAAGACATAGGAAAAAAATGTAAAATTGGCTGAGTTGTTAGTTGACTAAAAATACCACTTTCAAGATGATGTTAGAAACTGCACTTTGTGATGAAGATGTCTTTATCAAAAAGAATGTTCTGTATAATGAATGTTTTGTTTTCTTCAGGATCTCTAAATTAATATACGATAATCTTTGTTTTACATAAGTGTAAATGGCAAAAACTGTTAAAATAGGAGAAAAAAATCTTGAAAATGTTCCGATAAAATCTAAATAATCTGAATAATTTTGTTTGCATTCTTTCATGGAAATGGTCGTGTCTTACTAATTTTTCATTCACTTCTTGATGTACACCCCGATTGATTGAATTTTTACGATTGATATAAATATTCATTTTCAAAAGAAGATTAATAATCTGTCGGAGATCATTTTGATATCCTAATTGACGGCCTTGTACTGGTACGACTGATTTATTGGTATTTGGTGCGGACCACCGTATTGGAGCATGATGTATTGATAATTGATTGCTCTGTTTGTCAGAAATGTGCAAAAAAGCAATAATTTTTACTCTTGCCTGACTTGACAACAAACATAATTTTAAACTCGTGGTGTTCATCAGACAATTTAGCTTGCATTATATCTAATAACAAATGACGCTTGTTTGGCTTAAGCTGTTCGATCTATTCATACCTATACACGAAGCCTCTATCAATTTGTGATCAAGAACTGTAAATCCGATTCTTTTTTCTTTTTACATACATGCATTCTTTTATGCCCTTTCATGCGAACTGTTGGTTAGGTTTCTGATTAAAAAAAAGGCTTACATAGATTGTGAGGAAAAAAAAAACAGGAAGACGAATGCAGTTTTGCCTGTTATTGGTTGGAATCTCATTAGGCCCCTACCCTTGATACAGGAGGGGACAATAGGTTTCCTCCCTGTGTCTCTCAGTAAGACTGCCCCGTTCGGTGTGTGGATTATTTTTCACACGCTTGCAGATATTGAGCTGTTTTTTTGGTATGCGAGTGTACTATGTTGAATGCTTTTGGGGGACCAGACTACACATGCTGAATTTAAGTATCATTAATTTTCGATGGGATCAAACTTCGTGGTTTCGACTAAAAAAAAATACAATTTTGTTGACATATGTAAATTCGCGGACAGCTACGCTCCGTTATATTATAAGTTAAAATCGTTGTTTACCTAACTTCGAGGTCTGGCTCAACTGCGAATGCAATGCTTATTAGTGTTCAACGATTGTATAATGTATTGTTTATGAAACATTCTCAGAATGCTTGATTAACAAGCACATCCACAATTACAGAAACATACATGTAATCTGCATCGCTGCCAAAAAAAAAAAAAAGAAGGAAATATATATATAAATTTCATTACATTTCATTAAAATTCATTTTTGAAACTGTGTCCAAAAGTCCTTTTTAATTCTGTATGTTTTATCAAAAGATTTTATTGCAACACACAGGTGTTGCAGGAATGTTAATTTCAATTATACAAATTTTCATGAATAAAATTAAATGTCACATTGATATGTCAAACAAACTGGTAAACTTCTCTGTTATTTTTTTTAAATTTTAAAACACTTATAAAAACGAAGTAAAAATGAGTCCAGAAATCTTTTCATATTTTCAGAAAATCACACCTGGATTTCATGGATTACCTGTCTGTAATGTACATTCCATGAGAATGAGTTTTACAGAGCTGCACAGCATTGGAAGTGTTTATCATTGCTTATATTTTTTCTCATCGTTATCGTACGTTGTTTCCTTTATGTTTAACTACAGTGCCGAATCACCCCCACCTTTTATTAATTTTTCAAACATATCTAAGACTGTGCCACAAACCCCAAATACCTCGATATCTTCCGACATTGACGTTGTGGCGGAATTTTTGAAAATCGTGGCACAATTTGAACAAAATAAAGAAAATTGCAAAGCTGGGCAATACGATTTAGGGGAAGGAGTGATAAAGCAATACGGAAAGAACAGGTTCAAACAACAAGCTTTAGTAGCAGTTAACAGAGCGAACCTTTTAACACGATTGTGGAAAGAAGCCGAACCGGAAGTGCTGAATTCGGAATACCTCTTTTTCACTCAAGTTCGTAATTTTGTTGAGGGGGATGATGAAATTTTTGCGGCTGGGAATTGCTATGACTACATGGAATTTAAGGACTATTATCTATTTTGTCCGTATGCTTACCGAATGGAAGACGGTAGAATTAATGTGAAGGATCTTTCCGTGGAGTACGACTACTTAGGAAATACTTCCGAGTTTTTCTATTCCGCTAAAGTAAATGCAGGAAAGCTAGAGAATTTCAATTTCACGAACGGTAAGTCAGCATGCTTATTTTTCACTCTTTATACAGCTTAAAAAAAATGTTGTGTGTTTGTTTTGTATGTTGTTTAACGTACCTCTCGAGAATTTTTCACTCATGTGGAGACGCCACCAATTGCCGGTGGAGAGCTGCAAATTTTGTCCTATACTCGGCACTTACGGCCATTGAGCAGTGAGGGATCTTTTTCGTTCTAGCACCTACTGCGACACGGGACCTCGGTTTATACGGTCTCATCCGAAGGACTGTCTCCACGTCCCACAGTGGGATTCGAACCCGCGACGTAAGGATTGTTAATTGTAATAAACCCTGAGATATTACTTTTGAGGTTATATGTAACCAGGCATTTTCTATATCACTCTGATTTGGTAACGGTACTTTTTTTAGTTCTAAACGCTTGCAGATATTGAGCTGATTTTTGGTATGTGACTTTACCTTGATGTGCTATAGATCAAGTTTGCATTTCGTTCCGCTTCACTGTTTTTGATGGATTTATGGCATTTTTAATCTTTAACGGGAACCAGATAACTTGCCGGTAGGAGACTAGTATTGCTAATGCAATACTCTCAGAATGCTTGTTGTTTATAGAATATTGTACAATGTGCAGTATTTTTTGTATATTATGTTTTGGGATGAAAAAGATACTACTGTTTCCTTATGATCACACCTTTATCAGGAATTTTTTGAATTCTAACAACATGTTGGTTTACGTTTGGTATTTTAGTGTGCTTGTGTAAATATAAAATTTAATCCGTACAATTTAGTACAGTTGCAAAAGTTTACAATATTTTTTCTCGCATTAGATTAAATATCAGTATTCATTTTGACATGTGCTTGGTATTTCATTTACTTGAGGTCGAAATAATGCACATATACGGATAGAATTTATGGATTGGCATTATTTCTGTGAAGATAATATTATTCATTGCGTTTATCTCTCTTTTAGTTCCATGCAATTTGACCGATGTCAATGTAAGGGGTCTATTTTTATCACTTCGAAGCAAGGCCTAATGTATATTTTAAGCTCTGACAGGATCAACATAGTTTTTTTAAAATCTTATCTGATGTAAAAGATGATGTCGAACCCAACTGCGGTTCAAAAGTTGAGTGATTAGAATAGTGGGTGTTCGCGCTAACTTATGGATCTTGGCGAATCCAACACCTTTGCTAGCGTTAGCATACTTACTCGGGGAATAATACAGAATGGTGCAAATGTTTTGACATTTTTGGATTCCCCACATTTTTCTGGAGTTGTTAGATAATTTTCTTGTCGCCAGTGAATCTCCTTAACCCTCACAACTTTATCTAAACTCAGTTCTGTGCAATGGATAGAAACCGATTGAAAGTGATTGTTTATGAAGTGAAAGAAAATGATTCATATCAAAAGTCAAATTCGCCACCAATGAAATTAAAGTTGCACATTCAAATAAAGAATGTATTTTACTTCCTATTACAACTTCAACTACAGAGGACAAAACAATTTTTCATGTTAAAACGTAGGTGTAGCATTAAACGTAACAATTCTGATAGAGAGTCGTTTTTACAAACAAATTCACCCTCAAGGTAGCAGTACCCATGAAAAAGTCACAGATAAGATAAATTTCATATCCAAATGAGTCTGAAAATGTTTTTTTAAAAGGACCACAATATACTATTATGTTCTTTATAAGAGAAAATAATGTCTCTCTCAAACCATGTGTTGGTTGAGACAGTGGAGATCCACACGACTGTTTAGTTTACTCGGGAAGGAGGACAGAGATCAGAATTACAATTTCCCAGGGCACACCTACTAGTTCCGCCCCATATTTTCGGTAGTTATATATTTTGGATATATATCTGAGCGAGACACTCTGGTATTGTTACCCCCCCCCCCCCCCTCCCCCAAGTTTTTGGTTTTTGATTTATTGCTCGAGCAAGGAAAAATTATATGATCCATTTTCTTCAAAATGCCAGTATCATAATCTCTTTCAGTCTTAAGTTTCTTCACCTGCACAACTCAAATCTGTTTTTTTTTTCATATCGAGAGCTTTTAGATTACTTAATCTTTTTGTTATTGTACAAGAGGATGCCCAGTAGTGGTTCTTCACAGAATTTATGTAAAAAAAGGTTGTAAAACGCGGGAAGATTTCATATATATGTCCTTGCTCACTTCGTGTTTATTAATCAGAAATAAGTGACGCTGGCAAGTTTCTAAATTTGGAACTTAATTAGATATAATAAATTGCAATTTTTGTCAAGGTCAAATGGATTTTGTTCTTTAAGAACAAAAATTCAGACATTAATAACTTACTTGAATTGATCATGGTTTCACCCTAAATCATATGGAAGGAAATCCACATTTTTTGAAATTAAAAATTGCATTGTATTTTGGACAAAAATGCATAAAAGTACAGGATCAATCCTTAAGAATCGTGAAAGAACTGTTTATTACTACAGATGCACAATTTAGACCAGTCTTAATCATAATCAAATGATGCCCGTGTGTCGTATAAACCATGATCGTCATTTCAAAATCTTTACAAATCTCCTGTTTTAAAGTTCCCAGTGTCAGGTTTTTTTTTCTATCTTCAGCCGTCCGTCGTGCATCTTTTGTTGAGTATTAACAATTTACCTCTTACACGTACCTTTTATCTACTAGTCAATGTGAACCAAACCTGTTTCAGGGCACTACATTTTCAAAATAGAATGTGAACTAATTATAAATAGTTCTTGTTTCGTCATAACCTCTTTGGCACATGGTTTTGCCATCGTAAGAATTCATACTTTTTCTTTAAAGACATAAATAAAAAACATTGAATAAATTCACATCATGTAACAATTATACAGAATGTTAATGAATATACAAATGTACCGCTACGGTAGCTCAATCAGTAGAGCGGTCTATCCGTAGGCGGAAGCTCAATGATCCTGAGTGCCAGGTAAAGGTCTAAATTTGAAACCCTTCACTGGTATCGGGAATTGAAGCTTCACCAGTCAGTACATTTGGGACAGAGATAGCTCCTCAGTAAAGAGGTTTTAAAATGTATACAAAGGTACATATTCATGCATCGTCGGATACCCACAGGTGATCTCGTCTTTTACTCATCACCCGTGGGCAAACTCGCCGAAAAACCGTCGTGTGTTAAATTAATATGCGAGGGCTATTTGACTGGCTGCTCCACAGAGTCGCGATGGCAAATCAGCAAATTAAAGTTTACATTACGTATGTATGTTCGGCAAAGACAAAAACTTTTTCGTATTTAACACAAAGATTGCAATTAAATCCACTCACCGGTGCATTTCGCAGTTTGAGAAGGGTAGTCTTATTTGATGCAATTGACCTGCACGCTTTGTCTTTAATCGTTTTAAAATAAAATTTGCACCTTTTAACGAGCTTCAAGATATTAAGCATAAATAGCAACTAATAAACGTATTTTCAAAATTGAAGAGTTCCAATTTTCTGATTGGTTGTCTATAATCAACGAATTAGCATATTTTACGACGATATTTCGGCGAGTTGGCCCACGAGTGATTAATAAAAGACGAGATCACCCGTGGGTATCCGACGATGATATTCATGTCACAAAGAAGTAAAACGTAATAAGAAATATTCTTCTCAAGAACACATAAACCACAAAATGTCAATTTATGTGCAAGCATTCTCATGTAATATGGATCCAAATTTGTTCAAGTCATCCGTTAATATTGGTGGTGCTTGCTTGTTTCGGGTCATTTTGATGTTCACGTTTTTTTATTTAGCAGTGTTTAGACAAAATAACAGAGTCAAAAAAATGCTGCTTGATATACATATACTGGTTAAAACACAAGATGTCTTGAAAAGTCCTAAATGAAAAATATCAAAGTTAACTCTCATGCTTTTTCAAACAAAAGAGGGGGGATTCTTTTATATAGCTAACACGAAAGCTTATCGTTACTTGTATATAGCTTACACTTAAGTTAGCGTCACTTTTCTTCACTTTTTAGCCCCATCAGCAGAACTTGATTAAGCATTTTAGGGCATTATCTATAGTCACTGTGACTTTTTGTGTGTGCTTATAACTGAGGTTTACAAATAAATGATTGTAGTACACTGTATTGACACAAAATCTTAAATTACACCAAGCAGCAATTATAAAATAATTATATTCTTTACATGTTTATGTTTGTAAGCGTGAGCATCAATTTCTAATGTAAATCTTATACGGTAAAAATTTTGATGCACAAGATGCGCATTTCGACAAATTATGTCTCTTCAGTGATGCTCATGCCAAAACGTTGGAAATCCGAAATATTTAAATAAAAAATCTTTAAAGAGCTAAAAAAAAAATGATGGAAACAAAATCAAACAATTATGTCTGACAATTTGCGGCCAAAAAATGTTTAAGATGTCGCCATGCACAATTGAATCCATGTATTCTCTTGTAATTCAAACAATAATGTACTTTTTTTTACACTCGTACAATTTAATTTATTGATTACTCCAATCGAGAGAAACGACCGATCCTTGTTACATGTATATCTAGAAATTGATTCTGTAGACAACAAATTGTCGTTTATGGCGGGAAACTTTCTAATCTCAACGTCTTTGAAGCCACCATAAAAGGCAATGCTGGTGAAATTCACACAGTTCAGTTGTTTTATAAGCCATACTTAATGGTAGGTATAATCCTTGCATGGAGTAGCACCGGTTATGAATACTGTCAAAGGCAGTCAATGGCCTTGTCGCATAATAGAAGTCTATAAAATGATCAGAGAAAAAGTGAGTACAACCATCCAATAAAATGATTAATGTAACAATATGTTACGCTTCAAAATGATTATTGTATTTAACCGTAAGCTTTATTCAGTTCAGAGACCTTGCACGTTGTGTATATGCCAATAACAATCCTTAATAATTATGAAATACTCTTTTATTCACTAAGATCTATATTAATATATCTTTACACCTGGAGCAGAGAAGCTGACTCAATAGCTTTACCGCAGCAATTAGCTAATTCGTCACTTATATTTAAACCTTG